CCATTGTATTCTCAAATATATGGAGCCAACTTTGCGTGTGAAGATTTTGTGTAACATGTCGGTAGCCGAAAAATTGCAAGCTGTACGACAAAAACTCTTGGTTATGTCCGCCGATATTTCTCTAACTGGTTCAAATATGGATGTGAAACCTACATCATTAGGTAGGGGATCTGGAGTTATTTTAGATGCCACCAGGACTGCCAGATTTGGACAATTTTCAGACTTTTTTATCCTCAAATATATGGAACCACCTTTGCTCGTCAAGGGGTTGTTTAGCGTGTAGGTAGCTAGCTTTACGACAAAAACTCTTGCCTATTTCCGCAGATATATTTTCCTAACTGGAGCAAATATGGATATGAAATCTACAGCATCAGGTGGAATATCATGAGCGCTTTCAGATACCAACAGGATTGCGAGATTTGGACAATTTTCAAACATTTTATTCTCCAATATGTGGAACTATCTATGCACAGGAAGACGACCTACAACGTCCAGCCCGCTGTAAAATGCACAAAAAAAGTAAGCGGTACAAAAAGAAGTCTTCACTTCTTCTCCAGATAGTTCACTAACTAGAGCAAATTTAAATATCAAACCTACACCATTTGGTAGAGAATCTTCAGCCCTTTCAGATACCACCAGGACTGCAAGATTTGAAAAATCTTCAGGCAGTTTATTGTGCAATATATGGAGCCAATTTTGTGCAAGGAAGACACTGTGAAAGACGTGGGCAGCTAACTGTAAGACAAAAACTCCTGTCTATTTCCGCAGATATTTCCCTAACTGGAGCAAATATGGATATGAAACCTACATCGTTAAGTAGAGCATTTTGAGCCCTTTCAAATGCCACCAGGATTGCCAGATGTGGACAGTTTTCCTACATTTTATGTTTTAATATATGGAACTATCCATGCGCAAAACTACAACCCCCAACGTGAAGAGAACCGGAAAAATTGCACAAAAAATCCAGAAATACGACAAGAACTCTTGCCTAATTCCGCAGCTTTTTTCCTAACTGGAGGAAATATGGACATCACACCTACATCGTTCGGTGAAAAATCTTGCGCCCTTTCAGATGCCACCAGGTTTACCAGATTTAGACAATTTTCAGAGATTTTATCCTCCAATATATGGAGCCAACTTTGCGCGGGAAGACGTCGTGTAAGGAGTAGGCAGGCGGAAAATTTCCCCCTAAAAAAGCAAGCAGTACGGCAAAACTGTTGTCTACTTCCCCAGATATTGCCCTAAATGGAGCAAATATGGATATGAAACCTAAATCATTAGGTTGTGGATATTGACCCCCTTCAGATGCTACCAGGATTGTGAGATATGGAAAATTGTCCGACTTTATATGTTTTAATTTACGGAACTATCTATGCGTAGGAAGACGACTTTCAACGTGCAGACAAGCGGGGATATGCACAAAAATAGCAAACAGTAGGACAAGAAGTCTTGCCTTCTTTGGCAGATATTTCCGTAACTGAAGCAAATATGGATATCAAACTTACTTCATTAGATAGAATACCATGTGTCCTTTCAGATGTCACCAGAATTGCCAGAATTGGACATGATCTTCAAATATCTTCTGATCCACTACATGAAACCCTCTATGCGCGGGAAAACAAACTGTGACCTGTAGACAAACGAAAAATTGCACAAACGTAGCAGGCAAGAGGATAAGAGCTCTTGCCTTCTTTCGCGAAAATTTCTATTAAAAAAAAAATACGGATATGAAATTTACATGACTTGATAGAGGATCATGCGAGCATTCAGATGAAACCAGGATTGCCAAATTTGAACTATTTTCAGATTTTTAATGCTCCAGTACTGTGAGCAATCTTTGCGGGAGAAGAGCACCAGTTACGTGTGGAAAAGAGAAAAATGCATGAAAGTAGGAAGCATTAGGACAAGGCTTTTTTCCAGGATATATTTTTACGTTAGGGAGATGTTGATTTATATAAAGGGTTTTGCCCTTACTCAACGTACAGTATATAATGATAAACAATGAATGCTCAGTGTATGTCCCAGAGCTTGCGAAAACATTCACAAGCTTACTCAGGTGGAACTCGAACCCACGATCTCCTGCTAACCAGTGCAGACGTCTTAATCACTCCACCACCGAGCTTGCCGGGTTCGGCTGGCCGGTCCAAGTCAGGTGAAGCAGCGGGTACCGCGAATTATTTTCAAGATGTATTTTTGCTTTGGGGAGATGTTAATTTATATAACGGGTTTTGCCCTTTCGAGTCCAACCCAAGTAAGCTTGAGAATTTTTTCGCAAGCTCTCGGACAAGCACTGAGCCCCCAATGTTTATCAATATGTACGTTGGGTAAGGGCAAAACCCTTTATATAAAAGAACTAGTGCCTTCTTTCGCAGATACTTCTATAACTACAGCAAATACATAGATGGGTATAAGAGTTTGTGCACTTTTAAATGCAACAACGATTGCCAGATTTGGACAATATTAAGGTCTTTTATGCTCCGATATATGGATCCATCTTTGTGCTGGAAGACGACTGGTAGCGTAAAGAAGGGAGAATTCCACATAAATATCAAGCATTGTTTGGCAAACATTTGAATAATTCAAGCAGATATGGATAGGAAACTTACATTATGAATAGTCGTCCTTTTAGGTGCCACCAGAATTGCCAGATTTGGAAATTTGCAGGTTTGTTATATTCCAATATATGGAGCCACATCAGCGCGGAAAGACGGCCCGTACCGTGTAGACAAAGGGGGAACTGCACGAAAGTAGTGCAAAGTTGCACAAAGGCAGTAGTACAAGAACGTTTGCCTTCTTCTGCGGATATTTCCCTGACTAAAGCAAATATGGTTGTGAAACTTATATCAATTGGTCATTTGAGCATTCAGATGCCACCAGAATTGTCTGAATTGGACAATTTCCACGTCTTGTATGCTCCAACATATATACAGAGCCATCGTTGCATGAGCACAGGACTGGTTAGTACAAAAACAACTTAAAAGACAGTCACTGACAGAGCACAGAGTTAGAGATAAATTCGACATACTCACTTTACGACTACGCCAGCCACTGAATCTTTCCAGTATTATAAGTGATAGTGGAAGTGGTTCAAATCAACATTTTTAAATAACAAAGGCAATAAATTCGACTAAGTCTCAGTGTACAGAACGTAGGGAATGAAAATACATGCCAAGATTTATCACATGTCCTGGTCGAGAGTCCACGCCCAACTAGCCCCAGAGACAGTTTTACTGAGCCCGGTTTTTAAAAAAAATGCAGAGGTCGTTCACTGAGGGCAAATGAAACGCCTAAAGAATTCCCAGAATTTGATAAACTAAAGACATCGTCTGCATTTCTCAAGCCACACAGCCAGAAAAGGCCTCAACTGTAAGAACAAGCAACAAAGGAAACGTGAATAATGGGGACTTTACGGTACTGTGGCCAAATCAATAATCTGATTTAAAGGGGCCACCACATGGATATTTAAAAGAAGTAATCGAATCAAATTTTATTCCAAAAGCTAGTTTGAAGCTTGCCCGAAATCGAAAATTACGAAGCTATTCTTTTTTTTTTTACTTACCTACACTTCGCTATTCGCTTTTTATCACACTCCTAAGGTAGTTTCAGAGGCCCTCAAATTCTTCGTATGCCCCGATTTTTCATATACGCTACAAGGCAGAGTGCCTATATAATGTCCACTCTGGCCCAGGGGCACTGAGAATAAGAGCAGAAAGTATGTGGGGTAAAAAAAAGATAGGACTGTAGAGGAGCACTAATTTTGAAGAGCTTAGAAGGTCTCGTGTTGTTGCATGCAGGTGAAAATGTGCACGTTAATTGAAAACAGCGTTGTAATGGTGGACCTCTTTCCATAGCTGATGAGGTCAGTGACAATTTAAGAGAGGGATGCACCGGCCGATCTCCCCCCCCCCGCCCGCACGAGAATGAATAATTTTAATGTGGCTTTTTGGATTAACATTTTGACTAAGCGCTTCACAATCCACGCTCGTATTTGACCCTCCAAGTTTGCGCCACCCCCGCCCCCTTCTGAAAATCCTGAATCCACCCTTAAAGGTTGCACCACCGCTGACCACTTCTCCAGACTAAAGCCAAATTCTGCATTACCAATGCACATTACCCCTATCAGTCGTGCGTGATCCCAACATCGTCCAGCTGTTATTCCTTTGAAGACATCTGACACCGTTATTTGCCGGGGAAAACAATTCCGCTACACGCTGATAACCAGATATGTTCATTAATCTTGTAATCGATACTTGATGAGCATAGTGTGGACGTTTGTCAAGTGATCTGCTACGGGTAGACGAAGACAGATGGTGATGCCATTCTACTGATCTACGTTAGGCAAATATCACACTTAGCAGGCATACAGAGTAACCTCTCCCCCCCCCCTCCGAATAATTAATTCCAGTAAGCAAATGAATACAAAATTAGTACTTAAACGATATACACTGGCCGTCGACATTTCTCCCCCTGCAGCATGAGCAGCTGCAGCGTACCACGGATCACTTTGTGAATTTTACACGACGCAAGGTTGGCGAACAAATTGACTCTGCCACCTGCACCCCCCCCCAAAAAAATGCCTTCGCTACACTACTGGCAGATATCAACCTCACTTTATTTTTCAATGAGTTATGAAATCAATGAAAGGTATATGGGTTAATCTAACAAAGATTTTTCTTGAAATGGGTAGTTATCTGACCAGGCTATATGTCGATTACGCTAACGTTCAGGTTTGAAATATTTCTCACACTTTCTTTAAGTCTTGGGCATAAACTAATGGGGTTAGCGGGTGGCTTGGAACTTGTATTAGGAACGACATTAATTTCTCTGTTTTTATTCTCCTGTTGTTCATGTTAATGATAAATGCATTTCTCAGATGTTAACAAATTTCAACTGTTTTTTTGTTCTTGAGGAACGACCCACTAGATTATCAATGGTAATAACGGCCATTTTAGTAAGGTCTAAGGATAGTTCTTTGCGTTTAAATAATCATATTTGATTACAGCCGAAACAAGTCAGCAAATCCTACAGTTCACTGATTACTACTCAACGTCAACGTGCAACATACAAAACGTCCAACCTGACTTGCACTTCACGGCCAGCCAGACTTGCAATTCACAGCACTATTGACTACTGATGCAACAGCTGCAGATACAGAACTACTGCGCGATGGCTTTTCAGTACACTCGACTTGCTCGCGGTGTTCTCGCGACCATCGCCTCCTTTGTGGTCTATGCCCTCCACAGGACGGTCATGAAGGCCTTGGGTGTGCTTTTAGTGGCAATCCGGGATGACTTTGAGACCGACACCTGGGTGGCTGGAACGGTTTTCTCTGCAACCGACTGCGTCACCGATTTGATGTGTAAGGCACACTATTTATCAACGTTGAAAATTTATGAGTTCCAATTTCTGTTGAAGGGATTACCAAAAGGGTGTAAGTACTCCAAACCTACTGTTACTTCTGTTTCCAGCATGACACCAAAACGTCATTTTGAAGGCAAAAGTAGTAAAAGCATCTCAGAACAGGAGAAACTATCAACTGTTGTGCCGCTTGTTTTACACGGTTCAGTTTCTTTATCAGCGTGCCGTCCATGGTTCACAGGCGCCGCGCCTAACGGATAGAGTAAACCAGCGTTGAGACTGCTGATTGAAATCGGGACCGTGTGAAACAAACGGGTCTTGGACACTATACATATATTGTTATTCGGTCTGACAGACTACCGGGTAACCATTGTCTCAATCAACGTTCAGACCAGCACTGCCGTTGCGCGTACGGTTTCTCCCACCCGCAGTCGTACACTCAAAGAGTTTTCAGGTCAGTGTTTTTTTGTTGTTTTTGTCCGTTTCTCAGGCCCAATAGTTGGACCGATTGGCAAGCGCTTCGGTTATCGACGAGTCTGCATGTTTGGTGGGGTGATGACTGCTGCCGCCATCATCGTGGTTTCACAGGCACCGAGTTTTCTGCTCGTGGCAATCCCACTCATTGGACCAGTAGGCAAGTTCTATGTTTCATTCATACTCGGCGACTGGAGCTCGTGTAACTCACTTTGTTTGGGGGGGGGGGTAATTGAATAAAAATTACGCTATGTAGACATACGTTGTTACCAGTCGACGTAAAAACGTGCCCGTAAATCATTTTTAATTCTCTTGCCATTTACTGTTCCAGCTCCCATTGAAAATCCTTTTCCGGCTGTGAGATGGTCCAAAATATGCTCAGCTTGCTGGTATATCTACAACTGAAATTGAGCGCCATCAAAATGCGAATCATGTACAATAAACTGCATTGGGAAATTGATGCAATCCCTGAGTGTTTTGGCGAATTGTAATGCATTTCTTTAATAATTTAACAAGAAAACCCACGTACCCTGCTGGTAGAAGGTAGAAAGAATAAAAACGGGCGATTCACGACGCGCAAAATCTGTCGACCCAATGCGCGTTTGGAAAGGGTCAGTAGATTTTGCTCGTTGTTGTTGGCCAACGCTATGGGCTCCTCTGCATATCCCTCACCACAGCGGTCAACAATTGTATGATGCACATGGCACTACCTGTTGCCACATATATGCCTACCACAGAGTTAAACAAATAGTTGCAATTTGTGCGCTTCTTTCAGAATACGGAAGATTCTCAATAGTGCTCTTGCAAGAGTTCGCAATGCGTTGACCAATCACAGTGCGCGAAATCGGTCAACCCAATGCACGCTTGTTAAGGGTCGACAGATTTCGCACATTGTAATTGGCAGGTGCTTTGTTAACTCTTGGAGGCGTGCTATTGTGAAACGGCCGTATTGATTTCTGCTCCACTGCAACTTTCTCCCATCAGCTCTCGGACGAAGCATTACCGTAATAATCACCTGTGCAGCCCTCGGCGAGCGTTTTGACGACAGAGAATTTGCTCTTGCATCGGGAATCGCCAAAATGGGCTCCGCCCTTGCCTACATCGGCATACCGCAGCTGGTGCAGCTGTGCCTGGGTACGTACGGATGGAGGGGAACCTTGCTGATCTTGGGTGCGCTTTGCGCTCACCTGATCGTGTGCGGCGCTTTGATCGTCTCCTCCGAAACCGGAAGGGCGGGGGCAAATCTCAAAAATGGCTACCAGTCACTGCCAAATGGTGACAGATGCCCCGACACAGAAAGAAAACAACAAGAATTGAGTCCCCACCGCCTTCTGCTGCCACTGAAGTCCTTTTATCGACGTATGGAACCCATTTTTTGTCTGTCCGTGCTATTAGACTTCAATTTTTGGGCTGTGACACTAATAAATATCATCAATAAAATCGCCTTGATGGCCTGGGTGATTTATTTTGTTCCAAATGCAGAGGACAGGGGGTTTTCAGGAGAGATTGCCTCTTTTATGGTTACAGTAGCAGGAGTTGGTCATATCATTGGTATCCTTGTCGGTAGCTTGGTCGTTTTCAAGCAGATACTGTCGAGTATGGGCTGCCTTATGTTATCGATTCCTTTCATTGCGGTGCCGCTTTGCATCGGTGCCTGGATGACTACCAGCTGGTTGATGACGGCCAACGCCACGGTCCTAATGTTAGCACTGGGCTGCTCGTACACCTTGGTGACGGTCGTGCTGAAGGAAGTTATCAGTAACGAGAAATTTCCTTACGCCGTCGGTTGGACGACCTTCTTCACGAGCGCCTCCAAATTAATGGGGGGCTTCATTCCAGGTATGAAATTAAAACAAAAAATAATAATTGGGTAATATCTTGAAGAGGAAAAATAGCTGGTGGTCCTTTCGGATGCAGAAATATTTCTTGTAAACGGAGCCCCCCCCAAAGGACTTAACAAAAAAGCAACGACGTTTAATTTCTCCCAAAAGAATGTCTAATGAATTTTTGTTAATGTCATTAGAACAAATCTTGGACTGTTTTTTCAAACCTGAAGACTTCAGTTTATCTCGAAGGTGTGTTGGGGAGATAAACTCAATTGCGTTTTTTGCACAGGAGGTCATTGGAAAAACTTGCACAATAGAAATACTTTTATAGATGTAATAGAATCAGCACCTTGTAACAAACTGACTGAGATAAACGGTAGGCCTGCAAGTTCAACTGTAGTTGTTTTTCAGAATCAATTTAATTCAACTCTAAAACTGCATACTCAGAAACTGTAAAGTTTGCCTTTTGAAACATCACTTTAGAATTAGACAAAATCCAAAGAATTAAAAAAGCACCTTTCGAGTTGTGCGATGAAACATGATTCTGAATTCAGCAATAGCATAAAGTTGCTAAATTAGGTGTCCGTTCGACAAAACAAAGTATGCTGTGCATAGTTTATTTTAAAAAGACCTCTGCAACACAAAACCTTGTCTCGAACCTTTCTTTTATCCCGCACTTAGCCTGTAACCAGAAATTTAAGTTAAGGTTTGTTCTAATCCTTGATGTAGAAGTCATGAACAACATATTAGAAATTCACCTCATACCTCTCTCGGTGTGATAAATTACCTGAAACGTCCGTCTTTCATCGTTATAAATGTTTCCTTCCTCCCAGACTTCGGTCTGACTCGTTTCCCTTATTAGGCATGGCTATTTTCCCACGTTTGCTCATTGTTTTGTTCGTTTCTTCTCCCGTATCCAGGTTGGCTATTTGACCACAGGGGCAGCTTCGAGGTTGGATTCGCCATCATAGGCGCCATGCAGTTTATATCATTTATACCAATTATCGCACAAAGATTGCTCTGCTCTAAAACAAATTGTCAATGAATATTTAATACGGAGACAACAGACGTATAGCATATCTTTTAAAAAGGCCAACTAAAAGAAGGAAATTATTAGAAATGTAAAGTCCAAAGACGAAGCCCCAACCCCTGCTGCATGGACGACTTCAGCGCATAGAGGCGTCTAGTAAGTGAAGGTCAGCCAGTTATGTTTTATGTCCTTTAATGTTGCCAGGGGTGCATTGCCAAATATGGTTTAATTATGCAAAGGAAAGGTCATGGTAATGCAAATTTAACGCGATGTCGAGTTCATATACAGTCCTATAGTTTTAATCGTGGGACTTTATTTGCCTGTACACCAATGAGAATATGAGTAAGTAAGCAGAATAAAAGCCCACCATATGGCGATTCACAATAGTGCGCCTCCAAGAGTTTGCAACACGTTGGCCAATCGAGTGCACGAAATCTGACAAACCAACGCGCGTTTGGAAAGGGTCGAAAGATTTTGTGTTTTGACTAATTAATATATCCCCGACGCAAAGTACATCATGGGAAAGTAATGAGCACACCCTCTTTGCTGTGAATGGATTTTAAGGGTAATATTTTTGCGTCTCTAAAAGGGTAACATTCTTCATTGATTTCAGCTGATATTCCGCCTTTTAAAAGCTAGTTTTCGTCGTACCTCAGCCTGCTGTCCCCATTTTCCTATCATTGTAGTTAACTGGTCTTTTTCGGTAGCTCGGGTAGAGTGACTTCACACTATTGCTTTCGGTGTACTTTGTTTAAACGTGTGAGGTTTCTTTTTGTTTTGCATATTAACCTTCCAAAAATATTGTCAACAGCCTCTTCTTCATTTATCTTACAAGGTTTAATAATATGTGTTGTGTTCTCAGTTATTTATTTGGAGGGAAAATGGCACAAGACGTACTTTAATTAAACCTGGATCAAAATGGTATGGTGCCCGTTACATCCACGACCAGTTTTCTTTAGCGTATCATGCGTGTCCGGTTCCTTACATGAAGTAACTTTAATAAATAACGACCTTTACAAACACCGTTTCTGAAGACAGTTTGTATTCTGTTAACTGCTAATTCCAAACAGTTCATAAAATTAAGGAAGTCTGTACATAATTATTTCTAGCCACTCGTGGTATACTTGACAAAATGTCTGCGTCCTTACAATACAATTTCTGAACTAATCAACCCACTTTACAGTGGATATTAATATGAAACTTATCAATTGTCTTTGACAAAGTATATTCGTGATAAAAAAATTAACACCTTTAGGGCTATTTATAAAACATGTAACTATTCACAGAATGTATTACAATCAATGGTCTGATTGTTCCCTGAACATATTACCTCACTGATTGTTTGCTTAGTAAAGTGAGCCGTTTTAAACGATGCGTAAGAGTGATATTTCAGTAAAGTGCATAGATTAGTCTACAAATTACACATCTGTGTCAAAAATTGATGAAATAACAATCGATTTACCAAAAAAGACAAGAGTTTAAAGACAGTGTGAGCCTGACACTTTAGAGTTGAGAACGAAAAGAAATACTCTTTGTACAAAGCCGGATTCTTCTATCATCATTATCCAATTATCTTATTGACAACTCTGGACGACATTATCTTTCTATCCAGGATGCAGCCTTTGATATTGTGTTCACACTTTCCTCCTAGCATTGGTCAACCCACAGACTAATGATCATATATTTAATGCCATTGTTATGGTGGCACCAAAAGTCGCAACAACGCATGCACACATCCTTTTTCGCCAGGAGCTGTGACTTGCAAGCGTGCAAGCATGCCTAAAAGGTAAGGGGATTCTAAAATTTAATTTTTTTTGGGGGGGGGTGTTTTAATATGAACCGCAAAAACGCACCTTTGTGTCAATCTCAGTAAGCGTCTTTTTAAATTTTTTGTTTTACCATTACAAAAGGGTACTTTGCTGCCTTTTTGGTTCATTGTCGTTTAAGTACATCACAATAAACAAGCGTGTAACCCTTTCTCAGAAATGTTTACTATGAGTAAACCTTTGATTCATAATTGGGACAGAAAACCTATGCACTGAACAATGTTTTCCACAAATGACATCATAGCAACAGCACACGCAGTTGCCAGTAAAAAAAAATGCACGTTTCGATGCATTTAACCTAGGAGTCTCAACTTGCAGACAAATTGTGAAGACAAATTCCTTCCTGCTACCCTTTAACAATGTACATGTCAACGGACCAGTAGTCTATCAATACCTTCTAGGTACACAAACCAAGATGGTGGAACGACAGTATTCATACTCCCGTCTCTTTTCTAACCCTCCCTTATATGATTTTAACTCCTACAGCGAATACCAACTGTATAATGTAATTAAATGGGTGGCCCTTTGACTTTGAAATCAAATGGCGTGCTACGAATGAGAATTGTCATTGAGTCCATAAGAAGGCAATCACAAAGTCCATCAGAAGTCAAACCATTCACAGAAATAACAACTTTGACAGATGTCATTCTTTTCAGCGTTTTTACTCTGTTCCTTGCCTTTTTCTCGTGCATGACAGATGAAATTAGACCTAAATTTTTTGATAAATGTTCTGACATGTGACTGACCGGTGACTCTGGATTTCAACTTCGAAAGTCTAAAAGTAAAACTAAAAAAACATAACACAAATTGTAAAATCTACGCTCTTCCCTTCCCCTTCTTTACGTGTAAGCCAATCATTTCCATGGAGCAGGCAATCAAATAGAAACATCTATCAGCCAAATATTAATAGAAATTGACAGTTTTATGTCTGATCCTAGCCTAATTTTTAACTGAGACTCAGAAAAATTTGGCAGTTCAATGAAATCGCACCCAGGTAGCAGGGTAAATACTACTTTCAAGGCTCAGTTGATCAAATTGCTGACTTCAACTCTAGTTTTTTTTCTTCTTTTTCTTCTTCTTTCCGTTGTGTTCAGCTTGCTACACTTACGACCACAGCAGGTAGGAACAGGGAGAAAATAAGGGTTGGTCCTTTGAGCACTCCAAAGAAACTTCTTGCAATCGCCAACAATCTCTTCAGCGCATTGTCCTGAGGTTCTTGGGTCTTTTTTTTCGAGCCTCTCTTAGGGCTTTCCTGTACCAGAAGAGAGAAAAGTGAATTGAAGAAAATGTAACTTCAAGTTTACCAGGGATCTTCTGTCGACCGGAATGAGAAGCCACACTGCAGTTGTACCATGCTAGGAAGTCTTATGTTGGGCACAATCAGCCCATGGGCGCAATCCGCCACTGAGTACAATTGGCCAACAGGCATGATTGCCTGATTGCTCTACACAATTGGCCAATCCTGCACGAAATGTCCAACTTAACTGATCATGTTGAAGCAATCTTTCACAACAGACAGTGAATTAGACAGATGGCAGACGAAGTGGCCAAATGCAGAATTACTGGCAAATCGAGCAGTAAGATTGACTGAATGTTTAGTTATGCGTATTGACCAATATCGTATTCATCACTGACACGCAGATTGTTGTCATTTGACAAATGCAACTTAAATCACATGACATTCATTATTGCTGCCAGGGCTCAAAAAGTCTCACTTGTCCATGTAGAACAGTATCTAACATTCAACACTTTGGCTATTTTGAACAGTTTACCTTCACTAATTTGAACAGCAGAGCATCAGAGACCAAAGCCTGGGGAGAAGGTTGTGACCAGATTCGTGCTGCTTGACAAGCCCACACAATACAGCAACGTTGAAAAATCTACCAGAGCTCAAATTCGTTTTGGATATTGATTTAAAGGACTAATCCATGCAGCGATACAATAAATCTTGAGTGGTTGCAAATTGCAAAAGGAGAGGAATGTAATCACTCGTCAGTATCTGGACATCTCCATTTCACTTGGCTTTATCTCAGGAAAAAGGAAAGTCCAGATTTTTACCTTGCAATAATAATCTTGTTTCACTCTGAGCTGCTCAATATTTGTCTGCTTCATGCCATCTTTGTTTTGACAAGAACACCCACTGATGGGGATTGGAGAAATTAGCAGTCTTTCTTACGCATGTACATGTACCTGGACTATTCCACTGCGTTTCAGGTGTTCTTTAAGTCCAGACGTCTCTTTGGATATGGGTGGCATGTACTCCCGTTCAAATTTCCTCTTCCACCATGAAGGAGAGCCAGACCTGTCAAAATAAATGGAAATAAAAACCCATGGGCATAATCCGCCACTGAGTACAATTGGCCAACAGGCGTGATTGGCCAATCTGCATGATTGTCTGATTGCTCTACACAATTGGCCAATCCTGCACGAAATGTCAAACTTAACTGATCATGTTAAAACAATCTTTCACAACTGACCGTGAAACATTCAGATTTTGCAAACATTGCTGGGAGAGCCAGAACTATCAAAACTTCATCAAAACAATGAAAGCATTTGAGATTAAACTGCACCATCAATGAATCCAGAGAAAAAAGATTATTTAAAAATCAAACAAAAATTCAAACTGAATTTTAAAACTTGCTTCATAATTCATCAGTATGGTACGTTCAATATGTCTAAATGATATTGTGTCTAACTAACAAATTTTAGTGATTTCTTGTTTCACAAGACACTGTACTGAATGTTTAAACTTTGCACCACCAATTAACAAAAATTTGGTACTTACTTGAAAGTGGTGTAGTGATATGTGTACAGGTTTGCTCGGATGAACTTCGGAGGTTTCTCTGGAAAGGGATTGCTGGCTATCAAATCCAAAACTGCGGAGAAAAAAATGCCTCAGTTATAGCAGCTGGCTCTGAGAAGAGTCAGAAAGTAAGTAACATGGCATGTTGATCAGTATACCCCCAAATTGTGCTTCTTTGCAGGTTGTATGGGCACAGCAAATGCCTCTTCGATCAATGGGGTGTTGTGACAAGGAGATCTACTCTGGCCTCAAGTTTAAAACATGTGTCACCTCAGTAAAAATGCCGTCAGTTCAAGAAAATCCACATCCTCACCTTCTGGTCTGCCTTCCAAAAGCCTGTAGGCAAAGTTGACGAACCACGGAGCCCGCTCGTAGCTTCCCAGGGCGGCAAACCACATCTGCCAGTCAAGCCGAGGCTGGTGGGGTGCCACAAATGGTGGCGCTATGCTTACATTTCCTGGTTTGTACAAGAACTCATAGGCCTGTTGGAAAACACATGACGGTTTACAATATTGTCAAAAGACCAACTCTTCTGGGCAGCTAGTAGAAAGCAGGTTCTTGGAATACTGCCACAGATCTTTCCATTTACACTGACGCCTTAAGTTTTAAACTGCTACAGTCGAAAGAAGTTGTTAGAGGGTTCACCACCACCGAACCCAGCGGACTTTGTATTTCCCTTTGTAATTACCTATTTGCATTATTCTGAACATGTTCCCGTAGCACTACATAGAGTACTAAGTACTGCATCAAAATCACACTTCCTTCTCATTCGTCCATTTTCTGTATCATGTTTTGCATTACTCCTATCCATTTAAGATGTGCCTCTAAGTATCTATTGATGTTACTAACCTGTGTTGTTCATCCATTAAAAAAAGGCTTTCCTTAGAAAAGGTCGGTGTATTCAAATTGTGTGATGCAACAAGTGTTAAACAGCCAAGTCACTTGTTCTCACCAGTATGGCAGAGAGTGCGGTTTCTCCAGGATGAACTCAACCTCAGTAGGGAAATTCCTCTCAACATTGAAAATGTCAATATAAAGGACTGACTGAGGGCTAACCACTCAGGACAAAAACTTGTCGTGACAATACCTTCCATCCTGCGCGAGGGTCGTTACTCCCCTCCATGATGACTTCTGGTCGACCCCCGACCCCAGTCATCCTTCTGAACAGGCCATAGGAGTGGACCAAGTTTAGTGTCTGGGCGTTGTCATGGAGTTGCCGCACCTCAGGGGAAATGCTGGCTGATGCTGTCCGATCAACGACGCTGTGTGGCACCTTGGACACAGAAACAGATAATGCTCCGTAAAATCCATACAACTGGGCATGTCCCTTTGGCCCATGTAAGAAAACAAGGGATGCATGACGAGCAGGAGTTCCCCATACAGTACATTTTCACTGCCTTGCCATGGAAATGGTTCCTAGCAGTACTTAGAACTCAGTAAGTTGGAAAACTAAAGAAAAGCATGACTCACCAGGCTGATTGTGAACATGTAGACGGCTAAACCAGTAAACACCACGCACTGGCCGACAGACCACAACTTGGCCAGAATTCCTCGCTCTTGTGAGACAGATCTATAAACATCAGAATGCAAAATATTAAAAAAATTCAAGCTACATTTTTAGTGCACTTTATAACACAAATCAGAGTTTAAATAATGCAATGTAAGCTTGGTTACCTCCACAGAGCCATGAGGATTTCAGCACTCAATGAGATCTTGCCCATCCATATCGTATACGGCATGATCTCTCTCAGTCCATCAAAGAAGCTGTCCTCAGAGAAGGCTGCACAGTGGAAAATAAGAAATTAAATAACACTAACAAAGCTAGTCACATGGTTAGATGGCAATTCTGCTCAGCAACAGTGGCGTAGCTAGGATTTTACCAGTGGGGGCACAAAAGGGGGACCAGCATCTTATGGGGAGCACCAGCTTTCAGTGGTGCATTTTTGGGGGGCAAGTTTTTGTGAGCCTTGTTCAATATCCATTCAACTCTTTTTTTCAGTGGGGGGCACCTGGGTGGCACCAGGAATTTGTGGGAAGGCACGTGCCACCCCCACCCCCCATGCTACACCACTACTCAGCAACTTTCAGGCATGGATTTTAACTGGAAAAGAATTCATGCACAGTTCTAATAGCTGAAATGGCACTGGGAATAATCTGGAATAAGAGTCAAACAACTTTAGGAACAGAAAAATCTTCTTGGATCTTGAGCAGAAGCTGTTACATTGCTTTCATTATTACTGGGGTGTTCTCCCATGAAAATATAGTGATCTCGTCTGCAGATTAGCCAATTGCGAGCCCAGATGACAGCAGCCAAATCTGATGCAGCACTTTCAGTGTGATGCGCACCACTTACCTACTTCAGCTTCTATGCTGTATTTATCAGAGTTCACTCTAAGATTGAACAGTCTGATCATCCCATACACCATGAAGGCATAGACTGCAAAGGACACCAACTTAGTCAAGGCACGGCCCACTCTAGCTATGAAAGAATTACCTAAGACAAGACAAACCAACGTGACTGTAGGGTTAGATACACTTGGCATTTGTGGGTATGTTCTTGAATTCAGTCTGATGGGTCAATTCGTCAGGTAAGGGGTACTCTGGGAGGGGGACTTACTTTTCCAAGGGGACGCACAGTGCTAAGCAATAACACAAGTAAGTTCACAAGTCTGGCCATGTGTAATGGACAAGTGATGATGTAGGAATGTCTTTGTCACAGTTCATGAGTGGTCTGTGTTGTAACTTGACAGTGGCTGCTTTGTAATTGAAAATACCACCGGTATCCATCCGCAGACCCAGTGTGAGAGCTGCCGACGAGACGTTCTTGAGCTGTTCAAACTTCAACAATGGCATAAAGAGTTGAGGCACAAGCAAATATTTCAAGCATACTCATGGCAGCTGCTTTATCTTTGCCCAGGAACTGGTCATCCAGCAGAGGGATGCACAGCGTCACTGTCAGCAAGTTGAAGAAATTGTAGTTGCCGGACAGCATGATGAGAACTTGCAACAAGATCTGGCCACATGAAAAACAGAAGGTAGACAAAGAAATAGTTGAACTTTGCTAACAAGATGTGGACAGCTAGCATAGTTTACTGAAAGTTAACATGAACTTTGTAACTGCTGCCTTATACTTCTGCCAAGCTCTTCTATCCTGTTCTATGTGTGTGGCATTGCTATTTAAAAAATGTGCGAGGTGGGGTTGGAACTGACAAATTCAAACACCCCCCCAGCTCACTAAAGCTAAAACAGATTATAGAAAGAACGCTGTCTGCTGGTACAACACGGACACAATCTCCTTTGGGAAGAAGTGTAAGCCCTGGAAAGCGGCAAAGCCTCGTTTGGAACTCTTGCCTCTGCTCATACAGAGCAGGCTGTTCGATAAATGTGGAGACCTTTCTGACCACAGGTTCTTATCACAGCTGACACTCCTTCCAAAAAGAGCGCACCCTCATGAAAATATTCTGTGTTTGCAACTCTGCCATAAAAAGCTTCCAACAATGCTGGAACAAGCTGTGTGGCTGCCACCAACACGTTGGCTTGATTCATTACTTGCGAGAACCAAGAGAACAGCCTGAGGTTCCGGACTGGAACGAAGAAAAGGAACGGCGTGGCGCATTCTATCAGGTAGACCATGGCAACGCTAAGCTTCTGAAACCACTGCGGTAACTGGTGGGCGTACCAGGCCAGAGGCGTTGGGATGCACTAGTTAAACAGATCAAGATACATGCAAAGTAAAGAAATAGACACTAAACATATAAACGGTAACCTGTTTGGGAGATGTGTCTGAGAACTATCTGTCACTGACCAAATCCAACATTTAAATCTAACATCAAGTATGAGAACGAGATAACAACTTTTGACAAGTGTAAAATATGACAAAGAGATGCAAACTCAATTTTGATTGGAGAATACTCTTGCGTTGCATGGTCATATGAAGATTACAGAAGGGTAAGCGGTGACTGTTTGTGCCATGTAATCCAGGCATAATGCACAAATATGTAAAGCAACACACACGAATGCAGCTGTATTGTCAGAGGACTCTCACCTGCGACTCGTAGTGCCAGTCCAGTGCTGTCAGCCCCCACCACGTAGGGCACATGCTGGTCAGCTTGACCACACCTGAGGCAAACATGAGCCGGAAGAGCAGCCAGCGCACCAACCAGAGTGTGATGGTATCATGCTGGGCTATGGCTGGCCGCCGCCATTTGCGGAGGTGGAAGGGCGCGACAATGATGGTCAGGAACCCTGCCTCCAGAAGCAGGATGTCCCACTGGAACCAGAGAAAAGTCTGGCCCACCTGGGAGGGTAAAAAAAAAGCATGCACACTTGGGGACCTAAGTGAAATGAAAATCTTCTAAAAGTGGAATATATACAAAACTAACATCTTGATCCCTTTAAAAACCATTGACCAATACTATCACGGTTTATCAACACACTGCAGTCTGTAACCTTTATACAGCCATTTGTGAAAATCTGGTAACTTTACCAACTGATGCCAGCACCACGAGAGGGTGCAATTTTCCTTCCAACCCAGGCTCAATGGTGGGAAAAGCACTTTGCTGGTTCACAAATGCCAATGAAATTCACATGCGATGGTCACGTTGCTATACCAACAAAAATTAACACGCCCCACTAACATGCACGGCTCTTTTCAACCAATGAGTCCTCATGTGATGTACAGTTAAGACATTAACGTAGAAACTACCCAAGTTTACTGCAGGATATATATGTACACATGTAGTCAGAACATGGAAGGCATGTCAATTTTTTTCCCATAATGAATTGTGAAATGGGTATCTCTGCAGTAGCCCCTTGGTGACACACAGTATCGTAACTCCGTCAAAACAAGAAAGGAAAGAAAATCGCGACAGCAAAGTAGGAACTTCTCAGATGGTACCTGGTAAACCGATGTGTACAGGAACCACAGAAGAGCAAACACGACGCTGTCTCTCATCCGTTGCGACATCAGGCCAACCACTGCAAAGACACAGCCCAGGATGCAGACGAGTTCCATCCCTTCCTGGGTGTCCAGCCCTAGTTGGGGCAGCAGCCACAGGAGTGAGGGGCGCCCCTGAAAACGTTTCTCTGCCGGGCGGCCGTCCGGCTTCAAAACAACCCTGGCCGGCAGGATGCCGTTGTCCCCATACAGACCTGGGTGGTAATTTCACAAAATACAAACTAGGATACTAGCATCAGCATAATCTGCCCTAGATCCCCTAAATGGTTTAAAGCTGAGTCACTTTGAATAATTGAATATTCCAATATTTGACCTTCCATTCGATCAGACTTATACAACTACTTAATTTTTACCAAATTGGCACTTAAGCAAACACCTTTTTTTTACCCAAAGTAATCACAAGGCAAAACGATTTTGCATCATACTTTTGGCCTATACGCATTAAATTGCCATAAAGTTTCCTTGTAATACCTTGAGATATGCTTTCAAATATATTTTAATTTTTTCCTAAAACACACTCCTGAAACTATGGGGCTCCTAATTTCAACCTCTCTGAGCTTTCTTGGAGAGTGGCAAAACAAGGAGACCCATCTAGGGGTGCGTGCTGCAGACTGACGATTCTTTGTACTGATGACTCAGGAGTGCTTTCTGCTTACCACGGTGTTTTATCTACCCACCTGGTATCTGCACGTACAGCGACGCAAAGGCAAAGAGGTAGATGGCAGACATGGAGCGAAGGAACAGGTCCTTGGTTGCCTGTATTCTGGCCATTATGACCTGGACTCCGAGAGCGTACTTGATGGGCTGTGTTTATGAAGGATGGAGAACTCTGTCACATCATGTCTGTATGAATCATGATGAAAATTGGAGCAATAGTCAGACCCTGGTCAGACTTAGAGTTTGACTCAGTTTACAAGCATACAAAAACTGAACAGAACATGTAGAAAGAGTTCCATGTTACTTGAAAACCAGCACGTGCCCCCCCCCACAAATTCCTGGTACCCTCCAGGTGCCCCTTAGGTGCTGATGCCCCCTAGTGCTCCCCACTATTGAAACTAGTACAAGCTTAGCTACAACATTGTTGATGCCCTAAGCACAAACCCCATGAGACTGGTCTGGAAAAGTTAAGTCTGTGCTTTCTCAGGCATTAAGCAAAATGGTTCAATATTTTCCCCGCTAGGCCCTGTGAAACTTGATTTATTGTTTTCACGACAGGGTTTTCAAATTTAGAAGCAGATTTTTTTTCATTATTCATTCTTTCCTATCATGGAAAAATAATACCCTTTTCACATGCACAAGGCCTATGTGGCTCTGTCACTCATGATTGTGTGCTGGTCTGATGCTGTTTGACAGTTAGATTGCGGCCAGTGTGGTTGTTGATCCTGCTGAGGTAAAGTCTTGGTGCAAGACCGGATATTGCATTCCAACAAGGCTTGAATTTTTGCTGCCCGTTCCGGCATGTTTTGAACGTAACTTCAATGTTGGGATTTGGATTTTGCGGCATGTTTTGCCTTTAAATCTTTAAATAATGAAATTCTTTTAATGCTGGGCCAAAATCACATGCAAGAGCTGATGAAAAACAATAAATAATGTAGTTTCATTAGCCTAAATAGCCCTAGTACTAGTGCTAGCACTGGCACAGTGTAGTAAAATTTAATACAATCACAATATTACTATAGTAAAAACAAGGCCCAAGTCATCCTAGTCTTACCCTTGTAAAACGAGAAGGTAAAGCAATTTATTTAAACGTGTTATGTCAAGTCTATCACGTCTGCAATTATGCCTACCATTCAAAAATTTAAATGCTCAGCGCGACTTGCACTCCCTCTTCTCTCGGCCAGCGTCTAGTGATGGATCATATCGTGATGCGATAATGTGTGGATACGTACATGGGTCCCCGTACATATGGACAAGGACATGAAGAGCATGGATGATGTAGAATGTACATGTACATGTTGTACATGTACATATACATGTACAGTCGACACGTGGACTTTATGAACGATATCAACCTTGTTTCCGTCTTGTACTAATAACAACCTAGAAGCGATGCGTACTACTTGCCATCGTGGGGACGAGGCCACCTGCGCAACCTTCATGTAGGAGCTCACGCTGGTGCCGGCCGGGTGGCGTATTTTTTATCCACATCGTAGCTGGGTTTTTTTTCTGTGGTGCGCTCGCTCTGGCTGGTTCAGTCTACCAGAGCTAAAAAACCCTAGGCTAAGGTGTAAATAAAAAAATACGCGGTCGGGTACGGTGTGGTGATGCACCGTGGAGGTAGTTTGGATGCATAGTATATCGAATACAGAAGGAAAAAAAAACTTCCGTATGCGTCGCAGGGGGGCAAGAGGCGCTTGCTCCAACCCCGCACCCCAACCCTGGAAAACAAGGGGGAGGGCAGCTTACGAAATCCGGGGAAAAGAGATGAAAGTGGATGAAAATTATCACTTTACTTAACAGGATTGAATCCCTGCAGCTTTTATGATTTTTAAGCCGAAGAGTGCGTTGTCCCCTGGAAATTTTCCCCGGGAGAAAGGGATTTGCCCCCCCCAAAAAAAAAGTTCTGGCGACTCACATGGTGATTTTGAGGCCTAACCTCTCCTTGGGTCCTCGGGAGTGCGTAATTCAGACCTCCCCTCGAATCTGTGATAACAGTGTCAGTCGAGTATATAGTATTTGTCATTCTTTTATGACTGAGCACTTTTAGATGGAGAGTTAATGATATTTCCATGCAGGAATAAGAACATGTATATCATTTTTTTCATGAGTTGCTGCTGTCATGTGAGCAATCAGAGATCATTTAATCAAGCCATAAGCTACACATCTTTATTTCCTTTAAAATTTAACAATTACAATTGAACGACTAATCTCTCAAATTCAAGGCATAAAAAAGCGTCGTATGCGGCGTTCAGACCCGGCCCGCCATGTATTAGTAGTAGTGCGGCCCGTGCATTTTGCGTTGACGGTCCCGCGCCCGTTGGAACACGACAGACAAAATGGCCTCATCATCCGCGTCATTTTTACAAGCCGAAAATATCCACATTTGGAGCGAAAACACATTTAAAAAAAAAATTCAAAAAATTTTTCTGTACAGATTCTTAAATTGAAAATTATAGTTTTCTGTTCTTAATAGTTTGACAATGGGCTTTTTAAAGAGATATTTTCGATGAAATGAGGGTTTGCGGAGTGATATAATTCTAATCTGGGAAAAACTTTGTGATAGCCCATACTGTTATGCTATTGGATATTGACGTGAATTTCATCAGACAATGACCAATGAACTCGCATGTAACAAACATTACGGAAGACTTCATGGCGCGGGAGTTCCAAAACAAAATGGACCACACTACTTGACGAAGTTGCGTAGTTGAGAATGCGTCTGATCGGCCCTTTTCAAGGACAAGTAATTACTCATTCTGGTCCTGTCTGAATAGATGATCAGAGGTAAATGTTTATTTTAATGTAGCAATCGAACACCTCTTTTACGTGCTCCAGAACGGAGTGAAATCCCAGATCATGCAGTGAGTGGCGATTTGTTCACCTCCATGACCGCGGTGTAGTAGGCTAGGCTAGGCCTATAATGAGTGAGAGGGCGCTGTGTACTGTGATCATCGAACCCAATCACTCAGTTTTGTGAAACTACCAACTGTGTCATCAATTCGACTTTCAAGTTTGATAGTCTGAAGCAATAGCAGAAAACCCCGCCACTCCAAAAAATGATCCCTGCGGACCCTGGTATGCCTTGAATAACTCGTGGGCATGGTGGGTACGAGATGAAAATTCCTTGACCTGTAACTGGCTGAGGTTGATCATGCGAGGTGATGGAGTATTCTGCAATTGAGCCCAGTCATGCCAGTGATTTAGACATTACTCCATCCCCAGCTAGGCTACCTCATGCATCAGGCCTACCCCCAGAACTGTACGGTCAGACGTCCGCCCCACTCCCACGAAGGGAGCGGGGCGGATGTGGGACCCCACACTCCTACCCCCAGAACTTTTTGGTCTGACGTTCACCCGCTCCCTTCGTGGGAGCGGGAGGGATGTGGGACCCCACAGTTCTGGGGTAGGATTATGCCTGTAATAGGGAAAGGATGTTGGTGTTCGCTATGCCAGCCAGTGAATGTAATAAAATGATATCAGTTCAATGCTGGCTTGCCTATCTAAAAGAAATAAGCGTCGGCTGTTCATGACAATATGTGCTCTTCATAAGAAATAGTCATGACACTGGGTGTCGCTGGCACGCTGTCAGGTCAACTCGTCCCTTGATCGACTCGCCCCTTACCAACTCGCCCCCTAGGAACGTCAAGCAAGTATGGCTTGCCCATTGTGTAAAAAAAAAACTGAATGGTTCAAACCAACGACGCAACAAGAACAACTCACAGACGGTGATGGATATTTGGACATCACCACTTATCACTTATTTATTCAAAAATCTTAGCGCTTCCCACGTCCACTGTCTGATTAGGTTATTTGTACATCAGACATAACCTCAGGTTTAACAACTTCGAACTCCCCATCCCATCAATATTTGGGTATGTGACTGAGGTCCGCAGAAGGGACGCAGCTGGGCAGATGGCCCATACACACAATGATACTGAATTAGTTTTATCAATATCTAAAAAAAAAGTTTACCCCAAATTCCACAGAAAGTAAACATCCAGCAAGCTTTAAAAAGTTTAACTTTCATAATTCTCAACTTTGAGTGCCTGCTACGAACCCCAGAACCTATTTTTACGAGCAGCATTCACAGATTCCATCTCTGACTGATTGTGTTTTTGTTAAATGGTGAATGGGCCGGCCATACGTGCTTGGCAAACTTAGGGGAGTGAGTTGGCCAGGGAGCGAGTCAGTCAGGAGGCGAGTGGGTCAGGGGCGAGTTGGCTAGGGGGCGAGTTGGCCAGGGGGCGACTTGGTCAGGGGGCGAGTTGGTAGGGGCAAGCTGGTAAGGGGCGAGTCGGCCAGGGGGTGAGCTGACCTACAATCGCTGGCACAAATGGTCCGATAGTATAATTTTGCAGAACTTGTATTTATGTGTAAATTGTCACCAACACCAGGAAGTAGCACTCAACTGTACTTGCGTGCTACTTTGTGAAAAACGTGTTTACAGCAATTTCGGTTTCACAAAGTAGCGCTCAACTGTGCGCGCGCACTTGGTACTGATGCATTGAATGATTTTCATTTTCATGAAGTAGCACTCGTCTGTTTTGTCAATATAGCATGGATAAAAATGCTTTGAAAGGTCTAAAATGATTTGATTCACCCGTAAATACAGTATGTGACTAACTACAAGATGCTCTTAAAACTCGTTTTAACTGGTTAAATTAAGGAAAAGGTCAATTCCTGAAAATAACAATTCACAGAGCACGTATTGCACGGCAACGAGTGCTACTTCATGAAAAGGAAAATAACACATTTCTGTGAAACACGCTGAAGTGCCGCACACATCTATGGATGAGTACTACTTTGTGATGTTGATGACGGTTTGTTGACAATAGTTACAATACAATCCAAGTTCAAGAGTTGTTGGCTTATTTTCTTATTTAATTTAAGTCTGGTTTCCTAACACCAGATTTGTGAAGCAAGATGACCCAGGGGGACACGGAAACCCGGTTCATGCACCTGCTGCAACCAATCCGGGACCTGACTAAGAATTGGGAGGTGGACATTGCCTCTCAGCTGGAGGACTATCTCACAGAGGTATGCTGTCTTATCAGACTGAGACCTCTAAGAGTGGAAAAAGAACGAGCGGAAACAAAGTTAGGTCAACTTCAGTTACTGTGTGGCTAACAAAATTCTCCAAAATGTTCACAAGGCAAAGCGAAGGTCCTCAATATTTCATAAGCCGAGTCTGAGGCCTCGGTTTAATTATAAGACTTTCTTTCAACATGTTCCACCCAAAAGTGAAGCCAAACAGTTCAATCTGAAGCCCTGGACCAAGCTGGTACATTTCCAACTTTCTGGGAAGAATAACCGTTCAGTAGACTGTTGGCATGACTATGGAGAGAATATGTGGAAGTAGAGACTGGATCTGATGCAGTTTTCAAGGGTATTGGGCTGCTTGACGTGCCAGTCAGTCTGATTTCTTGCATTACAAATGAGCTACCGGTACTGTGAGTCCAAAAGTTTGGATAAGTTGGCCCATGTGATATTACTCAGCCATCTTGAGGACTGTGCTATCATTCAAAATCTGCAACCATGGTTTGCTCACAGTAAGCCCCACCTGATGCACATGTGGGCACTTAGCATGTGTTCTTTTCCAATGACACATAACATGTTCCAGTGGGGCGCGCATCGTAGGGTGCGTGCACGCATGTCAGACTCTTGTGCATGTATGTCAGACATAAATCACAAATATGATTGGTCAGAAAAATGGGGTGGTGCCTAATTGATCACTCTAGTGTGGCGAAGACATTTACTAAGGAAACTTACTATCAAGTCTTTACTCACTTTGTCGTTAAGTGTCAATTTTTTCTTACCTTAGATTGAAGAAATTCGGATCTCATTTGATGGGGGCTCCACTTCAATGAACTTTGCCGAGGCAGCCCTGCTGATCCAAGGGTCTGCCTGCATATACAGCAAGAAAGTAGAGTACCTGTACGCCTTGGTATACCAGACGCTAGATCTTCTTGCCAGTAAGAAGTAAGCACATGAACAGAGGATGAGAAACACTTTGGAGCCAACAGGGATACAAGGAACTTCAGGGTGTGAGCAAAAGTGTTGGCTACAGCTGAAAGTAACATGTCTGTGGAAGCTAGTGGCTGTGGCTACAGACCATAGATGTGTGTGTTAACCCTAGCCACAGCTAGTCAATTCAGACAGCCTGAGACAGCCGGCCAAATGCTGGTACAAATAGACCGATCCTTTAACCCCCACACTACTGTTTTCTGCCCAGTTACAGCCGTGATTTGTGTCCATCATTCGTGCACAAAATCCAACATGCGTGCACGTGCATATGATGCACATGGCTGGAACACGTAGTATGACATTAGAGAAGAAATGTGCCCATGTGTGCAGTGGGCGGGCTTACTGGATTGGTCTATTGAGGAGGGCTTTGCAGTACCCCCAGAAATTTTAATGGCTCGCTAAGGCAGAAATGGTTAATTTACAAAGACTAGAATGAAGAGAGATGTCCAGATGTGGGAACATGTTATTTATGCAAAGCATGTGTTTGTTTGAAATTTGTTTCATTGGACTCTCTCAACCTGAATTCTTCCAGCTCGTTTGAGATTTTTCAGGATAGAGGAGAGTACAGCCCAGCCACTAGTTTGTGAGGGAAATTGATCCTCTACAAACATGTACTTTTCATAGTACAAACTCCAGAAAGGTTCGGGAAGGTTCCGAGTTACTTAAAAAAAAACATGCAAATGAAGTTGGTGTCAGCTGTTTGACATACACGTGTTGACAAGTGCATCACGAGAATTGTCCTTTGCTCTCTGTCTCAGGAAGCTACAACAGCCTTCGTCTGTTGACGAAGAGGGACACGACAAAGATGTGTCATTTGCATACCAAAAGAATGCAGAGGAGGTAAGCAACAGAAGACATTGAAAATGTGACCTCATAAATTTCACTAATACTTGACAAAATAACATTTTTTGTCGGATTCCTTCTAACGAGCATTTACCCTTCACAAGCTTCACAAGGCCCCAATTTATTCCGTAGTCATTTTATTTGTCTTCTCTCATGATAATTTTCTGCTTGATGAAACAGTTCCTGTCACTGGACGATATTCAAATCGCAAAGAATATCGACTTGAAAGAAGTGGACCTAAACGATAACGTAAGTACGCTTGACAAACTGGTGTACATAGATGATGTGCTTGTTGAGGTTTTGTCAGGCAGTTGGGGGATCCAGCCCACGACTTGTCAATCATGTTGTGCATGTGACCACTTAACACCAAAATATAACTTCATTACACAAATAATGTATACAAGTGCAGTGGTGGGAATGGAGCATTCCATCTGTCACTAAATGGCATTATTGTTACCATTGCATGAATGTGGAGCACACGTATTCCTAAATTGTTCTATGCAACACCAGATGAAATGTTTGTAATTAACTTAATGTTGTCCTTTCTCAATTTGGTGTAATTTACAGTGGAAATGGATATAAAAATTGCCACAAGAAGTTGTCCAGAAAGCCTTCGAATATTTGTTCAATTTGAAAATTAACTTGTTCATTTGCCAATGCAGCTGGTGAAGGTCATTCCCAGAACTCCCTTGTCTCTGCTCAAGGTGAATGGTTTGGGAGAAGACGTGCCCCTTAAAGAGTAAGATTTCTGTCCACTCCTCATGTTGATTTAATTTCTTGATGGCATTTATATTCCAGCAATGTGTGTTACTCTATGGGCTGTTGTCCAAGGCCTCACCAGGTGTGTTTTTGTGTGTCTTGGGATCAGAACTTAAGCTTGAGATGAATTTCAGGATGTTCAACTTTCTGATGTTTTGGATTTTGCATATAATTTGCATAACAAAGTGGGAAATCCAACATTGCCAACAGCGTGAGTAGTAGGCTACATCCAAATCTGTTCTAAGCTGCCGCTCTGTTGGGAATAGCAGCGACGCACTGGCAGCCTATAGGCCCATTTTGGACACGGCCATACATTGTAGATACTCATAAACCGCACTTTTGTGTCATGGTGAACCCTTTGGAGTTGTTCCGCTGATGTCTGCTGCAGATGCCTACGATTGGCTCTTGCAAAATTTGAATGCAGACTGGAAATTCTCTTTATCATACATAGTGACAAAATGCTTACACATGCACCGCAGTTAGAACTTCTAAATGGCAAAACAATGAAACTCTCCATTTGATGGGATTAAAAACTTAGTAGCTAAACTGAACATGGATGCCTTTACTTGCATACCAAATGCCCAGAGAGTCTTGTCGCTGGAAAGCATCTTGATTCAATTTTAGCAGTCTACCATTGTCAACTGATTTAAAGACGACCAGTTTAAACATGGCACGAAAGCAAAAGTTAACATGAATGTTATATCACGAAGTATTCAAGGCAACATTTGCTGTAATTGAAATGTTTTCAACGTTTGCAAATTAACAAAATAGAAAGTCACGTATAGGCATTCACATTGGCTCTCCCGCCTCCTGTGAACATTCTTAACCAATCACATATCGTTGTGTTTCCAGTGCCAAGGGCGAGATCCTGGGCAAGATGGCCGACTTCCGCCTGATGACATCGGTCATCCACGCCTCAGGAACGCTGCTACTGGACATGTCTCACATGTCCCTGCTGGAGGCCTCCCTGATGAGGCACCCCATGTCAACGCCAATGCCTGGACCACAGCCAGGTCGGTTGGATTAGAAGGTTAAATCTTGACAGCAGTGGAAATAGTTGGTCACCCTGTGAAATGACCTACCGGGTACCTGTATATTCACCGTACTAAAAATTATCATATTCACTGATCTAGACACAGTGCATCAGTTCATGGTGTGTTGAAACCATACAAGCTGTAGCAGTCTTCCAGTCCATAACACTAACAGCTTTTCTTTGCAAAACAGCGTTAAATGTCATGGAATTTGTCACATTTCAGTCCTGAAAAATTCATCAGTTTGGCTTTCATGTATCTGTGAACCTTAGTCCTTCTGCACAAGCCAGCGTGTTACGTTATGCTTGGACAAAGATAGGTATTTGTAGGGGGGAGGTCAAAATAAGGAACTATTTCTGAAGGAAGAAATCAAACAAAACTTGGAATGTTGGTTTAATTGGGGTTTTCTTTCAGGAGACAAGAACGCAAATGATTTGAAGGGATTTCCAGAGGTTGCCAAAGAGCCCGTAGTTGATAATACTGATGAGCCTCCATTTCAGCAAGATGCCAACATGAGCTGTAAGTCAGGCTATTTGTTTTTCCTTTTGCTACATACGTGTACATTGTCGAGATGAATAGACAACCTCTGAAATTGATCAATATTTCAGCCAGCTATTATTTCATATTGGAGCATCGTGAGTAGGCCTGATGAAAATTACACGATACATGGGTCAGCTGCCGTATCAGATGTGGTGCGTTCATATTGCACAGGGAAATATGTGTTCTGTTTTTTCCTACTTTGTCTCTTTTGTTTATCCTACCGTTCAGTAGATGATGTTGACATGGCTGATCCCCCTGAAGAATCGTTCACCGAGCCAATTAAGCCAGGACAGAACCAGGTCAGTTCAGGGTTTTTTTTTCCCGAAGTCATTACTTACGTGTATCACATGAAGTTGTTGTATAGAAGAGAAATGTCACACTTTGCCCTCTGTTTAGCTTTTTTAGAAATTGTAGAATTTAAATTTTGTGGCACTGTATGAACAGACTAAATGTTACAAAGGTTTTCCTGTTACTAGGATTTCATATTCAAGCCATGAAGTCTCTTGTACCTTTTTAGATACTCATGCCTGTACTTGTGGATGGAGTGAAGCAATTGTGGTAAAGGTTCTTGCCCAGGAATACAAGTACCACTTTCCTTGTCTTCACCCCAAGTCAGTGTAATCTTGCAGCTGCTAGACACTGTACAAAAATTATGTAAGGGTTTAGTTGACTCCCAGTGCCATAGTCAGAAGCTGTGAAATCGGCACGTACCCTATTTGTAGACCAGGGATCACAAAGTCAGTGTGTTGCACACCCTGATCTTGAGGTTGACTTCCGACGAGAAGCTGGAATAAACACAACTTCCCAAGTAGATTGTGTAAATCAAGGTACATGCTGTTTCCTATTTCATTTGTGGGACAGATGAAAGCACGACGGGAGCTGAGGCCCTTACGCATCCAGCCCAAGCCTCTGGCCCCTCCGACCGTCGACCCTTGGGCAACACTGGATCCCCACGAGGCAAAGTCCCTCCCAGAGAAGCCTTTCAAAAAAGGTCAGAGACACACTTCAAATGGACAGTGCTGGGCATTAAACAAAGTGCAACAAGGCCCGGAGGATGAGTGGTACCAGCTAACTGCTGGGGTGGACAACCTCATACAGTGCAAGAGAGTTTGACACGTCTTTTTTGCATGGAAATGTATCGTAAATACAAGTGAAACTCTGCTTGCAAAAAACCTTTACTTTTATTACATTTGCTGCTTACCTCCTCATACTCTCTACGATCTGAGTTGCACCTCTGTTCCCTCTCTTTCATTGCTTGCATTGCACTTTTGTTACATTCTGTTTATCCCCCAATGAATCCTTGAAACAACAGGGATTTCTGTGGAATTTTGTGGGCGTGCATACGTATATAGAGTATTACGCAAGCCAGTTTTGGGCAGTACAGGGACTGATGAGTTGACAGTGCTTATATGAGATGGATCACCCCACAGGTATTCACAAATACTTCCCCTCACACACGAATGCAACTTCTGAAATTAGAGTGTGGAGAAAGAAATTCACATGGCATTCTTCCCCGGCCCTTCATGTTGTTTTCGGGCAGGCAAGCCTTTCAAGATACCGGCTGCCCTGTTGGGAGCCAGCCGCAAGAAGAGGAAAAGGAAAGGTTCTCCAGAGAAGCCACCAACAAAAGATCTGACACCAATCTCTCAGTTTATCACCAAAGCCTGTAAGTTGCATGAATTTCATCTGGCTTCCGACTATGGCAAGAGACAAGGCCCGGGCATGCAGTTTTTCCTCAGATCAGTTATTCTACTTGTTTTTCATTTCTCCTTCATGCCGTTAAAAATTTTAAAACTGCACAAAATCTTGTGCAGTCAGGAATTTTATAAGTTGCTCTTTAATAGTTCCCTGTTGCGTGCCTGAAGCCCACAACTGTTGTCTTCTGTACTTTTCCTCTGGTTTTTCTTTTGCTGTTTATTTCATTTTTCTGTTCTAATTAATCAATTACTTTTGTTCACACATAACCAGACTACTCCCATGCTTCCAAGTTTCCTAACAATGCCCTGAAGAGGCCGCTGTTTCCGGAATTCGACAACGTGTACTACACCGAGTTCAAGCGGCAACAGGCTGCTCGGAGGAAGGAAAAGGAGATTCTGGTGAGGGAGCAAAATAAAGTTACAATCGGGCGTGGCTTTCACCCTAACCCTGAAATTTCCGTAGGTTTTGGGAGGGTTTGTTGGATGGAGGAAGGTTAGAAACCAGCCACTATAATAAGCGGCATCTGGATCTTATGCACAAAGCCAGGCTATTGAGCAGGTTGCAGATTTGTGGTCACGTCATTCATATACAGAGAACTCATGTAATTGTAGTTCTAGAAGCCTGCTTTGGACATGGTCTGGTTCTGTCTGGGCCTGGGGCTGAGGCTCCTTGGAAGATCACTGGTGCACCCAATGTGCCATTGGTTCCCGGCACTAGAATATTTTGAGTGAAACAGCAAGCTTTCCAGCAAAAATTCCAGAAAGTCGGGTTTAGAATAGGCTTTAATGCAGAAACTCCAAATCTGCTAGCAGATCAAAGGGAGGGTTAGCAGGTTACTAGCTTAAATAAGCCTCAAGGAGTTTCTACCGTCGTATATCTGACCAGTACTTGGTTTTTTCTTAAAGATCTATGGATTGAGTAGTTTCTGCTATTGTGAATTCATTTGACATCATGTGGGGGTATCAGAAATGTTGCTTCAAAATTAGATCCAATGACTTCTGACTTGCTTTATGCAGTTTGACAAGGGAGGCAGCCTTCTTTTTGGTAATTTTTTTTATTTTATTGATGTATTTTTTTACTTTGTCCCAACTATTAGGCCAAGGAAGGCAGGTTTCAGGAACTAGCCGAGTGGGAGGCGGAGGAGGATGATTTTAACCACGCCCCCGAGGAGCCCCTAGGAGGGGCAGAGTCTGGACTGGAGGACTATGGAGGGGCAGAGATGGGTGATGATGGTGATGACGACAATTACAATGGGAGAGGTGGATTGGATGGGATGGTGGACGATGTGGGTGCTGTCAATAGATCAGGCAAGTCTTTGCCTAAGAGAAGTTCACTCTTGAAGAGGCACACAAAGATGAATGAGAAAAAAAGCTCTTGTAGAAAAAACATTTGTTTTCAATATTACTGATTTTTTTTTAAATGGGGATTTTTTTCATGTCACTCTATCGACATTTTTTCTTAATCATTAGTTCTTTTTTTACCTGCTTTTGTAATTGTCATTGTTTCCTGCAGTATTCTTACCATTTTTAACTTTTATTGATTTAATTGTTCCTTCAGGAGGTGAAATCCCAAGCTCACAGGAGATAATCACCAGCTATGAAGAACTTGTCCGCAAACATGTGGTAGGTTGAAGACAGTATATGTTTATCATGTTGTCAATAATGTGTCTGCCTTCTGGAACACTTTTTCATAGTCGAAAAACAGTGTGCACGGGTTTCATCCATGGCTTAAGATGCATAGAGATGCCAGTTCCTGAATTCCACAATTAGACTGACCCAGTGTGACCACCGCCGACTTTGCACGTGGGCACTTACCTGCCACACCATATGTTCTAGCCGTGTGCATCATACACACATGCACGCGTGTCAGATGCTTTTGCAACCCACGTCGGCCACAAATCACGGCTGTGAATGGTCAAAGCTCAATGGAGCAGAGGCTCAATGGATCAGTATTTTGCTGAAGTCAGGAAGGGATGATCAGAATCAGTTATGTCTGAGGAAAACCCTGCAGAAAGAGACCAGGACTTGCAAATATCAATCTGCAAGTCACCGACCCACACCTTTAATACATTGATGAGGAGCTCAGTTTCCATTTGCTTTTGATGTTGACAGGAGGCGTACATGATCAGTGCCCAACAGTACACCCAGGTGACAGAGCTAGGCAGAAGGGTGCAGGCCTGGGAGGAGAGAATCAACCCAATCCTCCATAGAGAGGTAAGCTCATGCAAGGGCCTTTGATTGCTCAGCCTAGAATGTAATTGCTTAGCACGAACAGGGTCCAATATACCTAATTTAAGTACTGATCCAAGACCATTGTATTAAAACTGTAAAGTCATTAAAGTTCATATGCCGAAATCACTGGGATATCTCAAATAAAAATTATTGTCTTGCCCGTAATCTTCCCCTCTTTCTTTTCAATATTTGGTGGGTTGACCAGTTACATTTATAATGATCAACACAAAACAAGCCCACTACCTGAAGAGCAATAGTTCCTTGGTCTACAAGCAGCCATTTCTCACATGATATCCCTCTACTATCTTGGGTACTTAGGACCATTTTTCCAACCGTAATTTGATCAACTCTACCCTCAGATTGAAGGCCCCGAAACCAGGGAGTTGATCGTGACTTACGTATTTTACCCAATTCCACCATTTTTCAGCCAAATAATCTGAAAAGAACTGTCCCGGCACTTTTCATGCTAATAGCTCAGCAGAAATCATCACTCAAATCACTTTTTTTAGGAGAAGTATGGGTTCTTCGACATCCACGAGTACGGCACCATCGTCCTAGACAAACTGGAGGCAGTTGAACACAAGGAGAAGACAGGCAAGCGGGCTGTCCCCTTCAGCAAGCTGATGGAAGACCGCCAAGCCCATGACATCAGCAGGCTGTTCCTGGCAACGTTACAGCTGGTAATGCCATAACAAGCACTTGATCAATATCAGGCTGGGCTTTGAGTTTTCTGTTACAAACAAAAAGACTGCTTCCAAATTCAGATTTTCCATGGCTTTAAGGATGGGCAAAATGGGGAAATGATTCTATGGCTTTATGCTGCACAAAACCAATCAACCTTGATAGAGTGTTTATACCCATTCAAGGGCAGATCTAATGGGGCTGGTAGGGATATTCCTCCTCAGAAAACGAGCCGAAAATAATTTTTTTGTAAAAAGGCCCAAAATGCTGCCTCACTCCTCAGAAAAACCCTATAAGGTTACATGGAAAAAATTCCAATTTCTTGGCTTCCCAAAAAACAAGTTTGACGTAATCCCCCACCCAGATAAACAAATTTGTTCTGGTATGGGTACCTGTTGAGTTCCTGGCAATGTTACAGCCGGTAATGCCATTATGGGTACCCATTATGAGTACAAGGAAGTGGCAGATGAAAATCAGTTGTTTGTGTTATATGCAAGTTTTGTACCTTGTTATTGCAAGTACCATACGCATGACCCACTGCAAGTGCCCACAGTGAGGTCCAAAGTTTTATAACTTCAGATGCAAAAGAAAGTCTTTCCACAACAGCTCGCACCAGGGAAAACAAGTCTGTCGAACACCTGACAAATGCTGTGAGCTTTCACAAAATCCAGTTGACAGCCTCTGCATGAAATCACGTGCCACTGTTCCTAGTAAACTTCTATTCCAATCGCCGATCTTGTTCAGTTGATCCCATGGTGGAGAATTTCTGACCACACTGTGATTGATTGTTCCACTGTTTAAAGTTGCATTATTGAATTTTTTCAAATTCAGGCCAACAATTACAACGTTGAGATAGGTGGACCAGGCTTGGAGGAGGACGGAATGGACACGATGACCCTGAAACTACTCAGCAAGAAGCGCCACAACGAGGAGTTGCAGGAGTACAGGGCGCCCTCCCTTGACAAGTAACACTTTGCGATTCCCACCATATACAAACCAGGTTTTCTTAATTGTCTTGTAAATATGTGTACATTAAGTAACCAGGCTCAGTTTCACTGTTGAAGTGAAATTTTTTCACTGTGTAGAGCAGTTATAGATATAAGGTTCGAAACATGGAAAGTGTTTGCTTATTAAAATTAATAATAAAAATGTTAATTTTTAATTATAGGTTTGGCCCTAACCCAACATATATACATGTATTTATTAACACATCCTGTGTACATGTACTTAGTGCTTGTCTGAGAGCTTGCAAAGAAAATTCACAAGCTTACTCAGGTTGGACTCAAACCCACAACCTCCTGCTTACTAGTGCAGACGTCTTAACCACTCAACCACCAAGCTTATGGGGGTTGGCTGGCCGGTCCAAGTCATATGTAGCAGCAGGTTACCATGAGCCAGCACAAATGAACACTCCATGTTGATCATCAGCTGGGCTTTGTTAAGCAGGTCTGTAAAAGCAAGCTGTTTCATTTGGCTCAACTCTGGGACATAAAAGACAGATTCATGCACAGTAGTAGTGTGAACAACTTTTTCCCGCATACATGTACATGTAGCAATATGTTTGGCAGTATGGTCTTTCACTGGACGAACATTTATGTGAATCTTATGAAAACTGTTCTGATTTTTCTTAATATTGGAGGTCACTTTCAAGTTCTGGGACCACTGGTGTCAGTTTCATTTTAGTTTTGATTTGTTATCTCTAAAGTTGACTTAAAAGATTTTTATTAGAGGGCATCCTGAACACACTATATAAATAACTAGATATACATGTACAGGTAGAATATTTCTGTTTGCTGTGCTGAAATGTAATGGCAGTCTTTGGTAGTTATTGATCATGAGTGATAGAAATTTTCCTTGCGTGATTTATCCTAGCCCAATTGTCAACCTGGAGGCTCTGTATAAAATAGAATATTTGTCTGCTGTAGCATTCAAACTTTTCAAATGTTACAATTCTTAGTATCAATTAAATAATACAATTCTTATTAGCAATTAATACATGTATACAAGATTCTGTTTTGGTGATTCAAATAGGCCCTTTTCCGGAATCTCAGTAAAATATATGCATATACCAATAAATTAATGTGGGTGGTTGACATTCTGTAATGATCCAAGCATTATCAGAACTTTGAAACCAAAGCATCATTGCTAATAGGATATACATGTAAAATTCTTGAAAACAGATAAGAAGACAAATGTGCACATGTATGCATACATGTGCGTCATAAATAGTTGAACTGGTACGTTAAGTTTTCCAATTAAAGTCTCTTTGTTCTTTGTGGATGTCAGTTTGCCTTTTCAATATGACAGTATGTAAACGTGCAGATGAAGACTGAGTAACTACGTGTATTTTCATCCAACAATGATTTACAGACGTGTACTGTGCACCGTGGAAGTCTGATATTGTATTGCTAAGGGCAGATGGATGGCCCACAATGGGGACTGTCATCCCCCCAGCCAGAAAAAAATCTCTTAAAAGAAATCAAGAGCAATTTTGGGGGGAGGGGGTCTATCTCATTTCCCTTCCTTACTAAAGCATCTAAACCACCCCAATATGCAACCTCACCCCTCGGAGGCCAAGGCCATTCAAAGTTACATGAACATGTTCATAAAATGTCCAAGTTTTGCCCCCCTCCCAAGAAAAGGGTCTGGATCTACCCCTGTGTGATGGATACTACAGGCACACTGAATGTTAATAAGGGCAGGTTTTTCTCAGGATAGGGACTTTGAAACTGATTTTGTTGTACATGTACAGATGTATTCACCGTTAATGAAATCATGATGGTGGATTTGGTCATCCTTTGATCTACAGTGCACGAGGCATACATGTACATCATGTACTGGTATGCATTATGCATGTACGTTCGCATTGAAGTCGGTGGAATTTTTAATACAAATCAGTTAGGAAAAAAAATCCCCCGTACATAAAAGTGGTGTTATCATTCCGTTCACCTTTTTTTTCTTCCGTCATGTCGTCATGCCTGTTTTTAATACTGCTTTTTTATTGGTCCAGATTGATCATGTGAAAGGGTGCCATAACCACGTCACTCTCACTGTTGGACATACATCAGCCAGCGTTTTACATGTACATGGATATGTACATATACATGTACCACACACATACCCAAGCACCCTGCTGTGTTCAAGATAAAGCTGGGACCACCACACAGCAAGTGTTCAAATATTCTTTAATTTCTCTCAAAAAAACAAGTGAAAAACATCGAGACAGAGAAATGCAAAGCAAGTACCAGCTAAACCAGCAGTTGAAAATAATCTGATAGGGAGCGTTGCAGACACCCCTCTGTTTCTGTACATATCTTGCTCCCATTTGAAAATATTGAACAGGGATGAGATTTGTCAGCATTTTTCTTGAATTGAGGATTTCTTTCCCGAGGATTTTACTGATTTCACGAATATCCAATCTTAAAATCTGGAAAATCCTGAGTTAACAATTTCACCCCTGAGTAGAGCACCAACACACCAGAACCTCTTTTGACTGCAAAGCAAGTTGCATGTCATGGGACTGCAAAATGCATGTACATGTACACATGTATACCATAGTACACGTACAAGTATGCATGAAGTTTAAAACTAGAGTAAAACAATGTAAGACCCGCTAAGTTGTCTTAGAAATAGAACGGAACACAACATATGCTACATTTGTCACTGTACTTGAAAAAGACAACACATTTCAACATTTACATAAATGTATCTGTACACGTACACTACTCACATGACTCAAGAATTACACAACTTGGAAACAACTCACTTTTGAGAAAATTATTTATTTATATGATATACATGTGCAGCATTTACAGAACCACACTTATATCATGCATTTTGCGCTATGTACTATATACAGGATTTGTTGCCTCAAATTTATAATAAAAATCACACTGCTTTAAAAGCTTTAAAAATTCCAAACTCAACGGTTTAAATAAAAGCCCTGATTAAAGGATTAAATACACCCCAGTAAGGATTACAGTCAATAGTTGTACTCTCAAATACAGCAAACATATTAGGAGCAAGGATGTGTACTGTGTACATGTACATGTATGTGTATGGTCCATGCATGGCTACATGTAAAACTTACATTGTACAGAAAAACAACTCCAGCCCCTGGGATTTCAAACAGGCAAAAAAAAGAAATGACCCTATGGCCTTGACCTTGCATTTACTTTCACATACAAACATGTACTGTAATTGCAGTTACTGTCTACTGTGCAGAGCCTTTTACTAAGAGAAAACAGTCCCAAAGCAGAGTGAGTGCAGATTCAAGGAACTAGTAATGCACTGTGTAAGGTTTTTAGGCTGCAGTTAGAGAATGAACAATATTTCTGCATGTGTCTACTTGGTCGACTGTCATAATAAAACCAACCATGAATAACCATGTACATGTAGGTGAATAAGGAACATGATAATAACCCTTAAAGAAATGGAGCAAATGCTATTCAAATACATGTGATCAGATGAGTTTGCTGCCATTCTGCCAACAGTTCCATTTCAAGGAAGCACTACACTGTGTATTTCCATCCAAGGGTTCCATAATGGCTTGGGACTGAAGAATGCAGCCCCTTTTTGTATATCAACACCCCAAAATGTCCAAACTTACAAAGGGAATCCCACTGATTACTACACACTGTTAGTTGGGAGAAAGTCTGGGAGCTTCACAGAAAATTAATTCCCGATAGATTTCCTCGCCCACCAAAGGTCTGGCAATGAGCCAAATCCGGTATGCTGAATAGCTAACTGTGTGTTTGCATCATTTTGGAAACAACTCCAGACAGGGGATGCGACAGAGCACTACATGTAGATAGACAATACATACATGTACACTGTGCATGTGCACACGTACAGCATAGCATACACACACACTGTGCACATGTACAGTATACAGGTGGCATAGCTGGTGATTGGCTTTGATTCACAGTAATCCTGTTAAAATGCCAATTTGCTTTGAAAGCCATACTTACTTTATACAGAAAAACCTAACCTGAGGAGGACTGGTGCATGCACCTGTACATGTACACGTAAATGTATCGACATTCCTCAATGAAATTACTTGATGAAAACTGCAGACATTGCAGAAAAGCATTTAGGAATGTAGCGAACACACAGGGTCATTATCCAGAATGAAATTCCAAGCCTGCAACATGAAACTCATCGTCTAATGATGACTCATTTTCACAGACCAAGTCATACTCATGATTGTTAACCCAAATACAATGCACATTGTTGTTCAACGAGAGAACAAAAGCATTTCATGACAACCAGTAACATTCGCATATGTGTGCAACATGAATGTGGAGGAAACATGCAAAGGAAAAATCCCACGGACGTCTGGTACTCAGACTGTGACCTTGCTGCACCCATTGATACATAAGCCTATGGTCCTGTAGGTGATACATGTATGTAAAAACACAGACTGCCAAAAAACCACACAAGGCAGCTATAATGTAATTGAGTGGATATGCCAAGAGACAGCCCGGAATATTCTGCAAAACATAGCTAAAGACACTTCTCCCCGAAAAGTACCAACACCAAAAACTCAGATGCCTATACAGGTACATGTACAGGAGAATATTTCAAGAGGGCAATGGGTCAACCACAGTCTGAGTATCTGGGTAAATAATTACATGTACATGTACTGTCTGATTTATATGCATACAGCTACATTGTAACCACGCAGAGTTTAAGTGATGTCATATGGCCCATATTGGGCTAGAAGTTACTGATTGCTGGAAAGGTTTCATCTGACCCCTACTACATACATGTTAGTCAAGCACGTTTTCTTATTTGCGTTTCCCAATACGGGTTCATAGCAAATGGCTGTTGATTAGTCAAAATTTGAAGGTCAAGAGAGGATCTCATGCATGAATAATTGCCCATCAGATACATGTATGCCAATCTGCCCATGTGTCATAGACACAAGCATCTTTTCAAATTTAAACAGACTAGGTCATTCCATGACCATGAACATAGTGTGAAGTGCTAATATCTATAACAGCTCTCTACCAACTCAACAGTAGCATATCCCTCAAAATGACCTTACATTTCTGCCAAATCATGCAATATATCCATACACTGTCCATTGATTTTTGCCTGACCTTGAACCATTTGTGAGGTGATAAAGCTTTGTGCACATAACAAATTTCATTGCACACAGCAAGTGTCATACACCAGGGTATGACAATACTGGTTGCATTATGAACTGTTATTACCCCGGTACCTGTATGTACATGTATCATGTCATGTCAGGCATGTCAATTTTTTGGGGGGAGTATGGACTTCTATCATGGGGCAGGCATCTTGCTTTTCTACCATTCAAAGCAATGTACACCTAACCAAAACCTGATCATTTGTATATGAAGTTGTTTATCTATTTCCAATGAGTTTAGAGGGAACAAGACAAACATGGCAGCATCATGATAAAGGCTTACAGAGACTGGTGGTGCAATGTACTCCGAGTGCATGTGCTCTGAACTTACATGTATATTGTCATTTGTAAAGCAGAACATTCAACAGTCCATACCCAGGCGACACAAATTTGTGTAATACAAGTTCTGGGCTTTGTTATCCAACTAAAAGTGCTAGGCAAAATTAAATGAAGGAAAAAAATCTCTACTTGGCTTGATACTTTAAAACATGTAGCTAGAAAAATTAGGCAGATAAATTTGCTCATAACCTCGGCACTTTAATTTTGTTGAATGCCGTTGATGCTATTATTGAAAGTTGGGAAACAGGTTTGAATCTGTAGAATACGGAACATGTACATGTATCTTGCACCCGTAAATTTAAAAAATGCCCCAACAATATGCTTAGTGAGGGGGCAACCATGACTGGCACTGGTGACCGCTGAAAAAAAAAATCAGCGTCAACTTATGGCAGACCACATACTGAATGCACACTTCTAACTTTAAGCTAAAATAAGGACAGGGTACATGTATTTCAGTATTCTGTCGATTTGTGTCAGAACTCCAAACAACTTCTGGGGTTAAACTTGTTCGCCTTCTGCAGACTAAAAATATGAGCCTTGTGTGGAAACAAGTACATGTACTTGCTCATTGGGGTATGAAGGCTAATTTGGGCCCCTCTTCTTTAACTCTGTAATGAAGGAAGACTTTGTTTGTCACATTCACAGGCCTCATTTGTTGGATATTAATAATTTATCTGAATGTCTGGAGACAATGAATTTGGACAAAATCTGATGAACACGTTAAAAAGAAAGCTACATGTAGAATGAAAAAAACTTAGTTTGAACTTCTTAGGCAACTTGGGTCTGCAGTCGCTGCTGCACTTTGAGGCGGTGGTCCGGCGCGAAGACGTGCCCTATCTTGTCCTCCGTGCTGCGGATACGGTCCATGAAGCGGCAGCGGTCGCGTGCCATCTCCTGCCAGGGGCCACGGCGGCTATCACTGTACTCGCTGCTCCAAGATGGTACCTCAAAGCTGATCACCATCGGTGCCTCTTCACAGAAATGTACCTGCAGGGGGAACAAGCAGTCAGTTGCCTTCTGACCAATCGCTAAGCTTTCCACCTTCATTAGAAACAAATATAGTGTGTGAACACTTTTTGTGTCCCTGTTACAGCTAACCTGTGTAATTTGACATGGAAATGTCACTGAAAATGATTTAAAGTTATTTCTATTTGTTTGGCAGGCAATCTGCATCAATTCATCACTGCTTGGAAATATGCGAATGTGTTCTGAATTTACAAAATTATATGCTGGATGTGGCAGAGACACAAAAAACTGGACCCCTAATTTATAGAATGACCCATATGTACACCTTCCCAGATGCAACCTATGTGACTGCACTTTCAGGTCTATGTAATGAGAAAAAGTAATCTAAATCAAGCTGAAATTTTATCTTCTTTCATTTGATACACGTATATCAAGGTACACACATGTACATATACATGTAATTTTCAGGGTTTTTTAGGCAAATCAGAGTAAAATCACATGACGGGATAATTGAATTCACAAGGAATGACCCTACACTGTACATGTAGACTTGCATAACTTTCTCAAAATACTGTACATGTACATGAACATCTGTAGTTTGCATACATGTAGTTCAAAAGAAATGGGCCGTTGTAAGGTCACGGTGTCTGGGCTTTGTGGAATCCAACCTACTTGTCATGAAAATCAGACTTTTGGAGTTCAAACAATGAATTGGGTTAAAATATTTCATTCATTAAGTACATGTAACTTCGCGTTTCACATACCACTAAACACTGTACATGTACATGTATTTGAATCATTAAAAATCGTACATATTGGTTGAGTTCAACTTCGTACGCGTGTCAATTTTTTTTTATCTCTCTTCATTCGAATATGGACATACATGTATCCCTTCGAGCAATATGTTCCAAAGTTACATTATCGCATACACGTTAGTACCTTCTTGTTTTGAGATGGTCTGCCTGGTCCACTGCCATCACATGGAACCCACAGACAGCCAGTACTTGATGCTCGCTTCAGTTTGGGCCTTGCATCATTCTTTGCTGAAAACTGATTAAGGGTCTGGCCTGAACAGGAGTTTCCACGGTCGTCCTCTGAAGTGGAAAGGTTTGCGGAAGAGGTTTCTTTCACAGGTGCAAGTTTGTTGTACGCGGCATTCACCTCCTGGAGTTTTTCTGGGGTTGTCAGATGAAACCTCCAGCCCTGCAGCGGGCTGTAGGGGTCAAAGCAAGGCTGGAGGGAACTCCAGGCACTGTCGTCGCTGCCCGACTCACAATTATCAAAATCGTCATCATCGTCGTCTTCGCAATCTGTGTCCGAGTCGGACTCACCCACGCCAAGTATGAAGAGAACTGAAGGATGAAGCTTTTCTGGTTCAAAGATGCATTTTCGCGGTGGTAGGATTTTCCCTGATTTCACTTCATCAGGTGAAATGGATTGTGGACCATCAGTTTTGGATAGACAGGATAGTGATGTCGTAGGATTGTCTTGGACTTTTGATTGCACTTCACAATGTTGGACAGACAAGTCTGATGCAGCATGATTTTCATTGGAAGATTGGAGACTGTCTGGGACAGAGCTGTGATTCGAATCATTTGATGAATTCGGGCATTCACTTTTTGCATGCAGTGACTCAATCTGTTGGCACCAACTGGTGGACTCGGACTCGAAGCTGGGCTCAGCTTCATCCCACGACTCAGACTCAGCAGGGCTGATCTCTGCCACATCATCTTGATGGGCCTGCAGTGACGAGATCCCAGAGTCACGTTCATCGTCCCCACCCGAAGGCGAGTCAAGCTTGGACTCGGCACCCTGCTCCACATCCCCTTGCTCACAACGGCGGGCACACCGCCAGCCATACAGCGGGTTGTAGGGGTCATCACAGCACTTGAGGAAGTCCCAGGAGTCAGAGGGCGGCGATGAACCAGCGGAGTCCCAGTCCGAGTCAGAGAAATCATTGTCCCCATCAGTTACCCCAGCAAGGAGAAATGCCAAAGACGAGTGAAGCGGCTTCCGATTCTGGGACAGTTCATCCTCAGGTTCTGATGGCTGAGATCCACAAGTCTGTGGTAGTTCCGGAGGTGACTTGGTGGCAGGACTTGAGGGAGATAATCCACTGACAGCATTTTGGTGATTTTGCCGTGTTTCTCCTTCATCCAAGTAATCATCCTCAGACGTCAGACATGTCTTTTCCAAAGCAGGCAATTCATCTAGAAACGCTACACAACCCTCGTCCGGTTCGAGCAGGTGGCTTTTCCCACCAGAAAGAGACCGTGCCATTAAACCATGACACGTATCTCTAAATGGGCTGGTTTCATTATCGGCAGACTTTGGCCCTGTTAAGTCAGGCGGAACCCTGCCAGCTGTTGTATATGGACTCATTTCATGGTGCTTACAGTCAACGGATGATGTAACACATGTCTGACTTTGCAAACCACATGTACAAGCATGACCATCGTTTAGACAAGTTTTGTCCCGAGATTCAGGGATTCCTCCTCCTTGATCACTCTTCGCTTGAATTTTCAAATCTTTCACCTCATCAGTAACATGATCAAGCACACCAACAGGTGTTTCCGGCTTGTACACTTTGTGGGGTTTCTCAGCTTGTTGGTCACTCAGTTTAGCTGTCTTGCCATCTGGGTGTTTTAGTTTGTCTCTTGAAAAGCACTTTGACACAGGTTGTTTTACTGACTTCTTTGGACTGTAACAGCTTTGTTTTGGTGTTATACCGGTACTTGTAGTAGTGAGAGGCCGCCGGTGTGCTTGATGAGCATTTCCTGTGTACACACACCCAGTGGCTTTGTTACGGTTTTGGCTGTGTTGAGTCATCTGAGTCCTACATGCACTTTGCATCATGGAGTTTCTGCCAGCATGATGGCCTGTACATGTATGTTGACTTTGAAACTTGTCGGCATCATGACTCTGCACAAGACGGGCGGCAATGGTCTCTGTATTGATAAACTGTGAACGGGTGCTCGGGTCAGCAATCCAATTGCGCAACACTGCAGACTCCCTTATCTGAGCACTCAGGCACCTGCGACGATGGCTCTCACACTGCAGAATGGGAGTGTCCAGTGATGAAACTGCCGCAATATGGGATGAGGGGCCTTGCCAAAACTGCACGGATGCCATTGTGAAGTTACGTCTTTGGTTGGGTGTGAAGTGATTCCTGCTGAAGTAGGGGTGGGGGTGTTGGCGACCGTGTGGGTGCCAGAAGGGACCACCATTACAAACAGGAAAAGTATGAACAGAAGATGACCGTGTTTCTACAACAGCTGGGTTAGCCTGCCTTGGCATTTTAACCTGATGGGATGGATTTCTGGCAAATGGGTGATAAATCCCTTCTTTCACAAATCCTCGCAGGCCACCTTCTAGGGGGTATGCCACTACAGGCACACTGTCAATGTCATTCTCAAGTGGTCCCAATCTCTCCATTTTGCTGGGTGAACTGTCGAATTTCTCCATCAAAATGCTGAGATCTACTTCCCCAGCCATTTCTACAGGGGATTCCCTGGTAAAACCCTTGGCCGTCAAGAGTCGAGAACTCGAAACGTTCGTTGAACGAGCTACCTTTGCGATGTTCCCCCAAAAACCCGGCCCCCGAAAACTTGACTTACTTCTGCGCAGAGTCGACGGTTGAAAACTCGAGAAATCTGCCGTCTCGTCCACTGTATCTCCCGTACTGCTTAGCCTTAGGAGTGACGGGGGCTTCCTGATACAGTTTGTACTATGAATAGGCCTGCTTGAGTTTATGGCTTTGCCTCTGCGGTCAAAATTTCTACTTTTCGAAAAACCCCAACCTTGCTGTCTTTCACCGGTTGTTGGTCTAACAAGATGACACCGTTTCGACCATATGGAAGGGCATGAAGGGCGGTTTGGCAAATCGGGATCCATTTTTGGATTATTCTCTCTCTGCTATACGGAGTTCAAATTGAAAGAACAAGGATTCCGAATTGAACATTTTACTTATCCATTATTGTTCAGTTTTACTTGCCAAACTGTGTCCATAGATGAGCAGGAAAAGCGGCTAGTTCTGGTCCTGAACTCGCAATGTAGGCGTGATCCCGAACAATCAAATCAACTCCGCCAGTAGAATATTCTTTCCAACAGTCGGGAACAGATATTCTAAGTGCGGTTAAAATCACTCTTGAAAAATGCAAAGACTCAAACCATTGTTGGCAAATTTCTTGATCTGGACAATTTGACGCCATTTTTACAAAATTATTTCGTAACTGTCAGCACAATTTTCAATACGTTGTTCGTCCTGTGTTCATTGAGTGGATACTACGTGCACGATATCGCATGCGCGCGCCATGTATGTCCGGTTATTACATCAGGTCAACAAAGGTCAAGCCGCACAACTACTAATCATTCGCAAGAGAATATAGTTTTATGTCATATATTTAAAATTTCCACATGTATTTCAATTAAGTTCAACGTTCCAAAACCACTATCCTATTTCAAAAAGATAAGTGCATTTCAACAATACGTGAACAACTATCAAAGACAATAATTATCAACTAAAAAGATATGTTGCTATGCGCGGAGTAACTGCTACAGGATGAATTGGTGATGATGACGCTGATCTATATTTATGGTAATTGGAACTCCCAGTTATCGAGAAATGACTAGATTTTACCTAGTCTTACAGAGGTATTTTTGAAAAAAGTACGGAACTGTAATAATATCAGTCACGTTTCTGTCTCATCCTCACCGCAACAGACTCCACCGCTGGAAGTTCCATTATTGCAGAACTTTTTGGAGTCTGGGTGCAGCAGGGATGTATTCCGACCGGGATTATTATATCGAAGTGGCACAGTAATTAAGTCAGTCAGGCCATCCTAAGAGTTGTATTAATTAAAAATCTGTACAGTGTTAATTCTGTCACAAGGAGAACGGACGAGGAACTGTAGATTAGTCATGTAACGAATGATGGGTGGGACAATTTTAAGTCTTGCGCGAACCTACGGGTGAGTCTGTTCTCTTACTGAAACTTTCCAAAGCAGGTGGTCACTATTGTGAGAACGACCAACGTGGATGAATAAAGAATTGTAATGCTTCCCACACAATTTGCTACTTCACTTTGATGCTTCATGTTATCCGATTCGAATGATTTTTATTTGGTATTACTACGAACTCTTACAAAAACAGTTTTGGCCTAATATCTGACTGATTCGCAGCATTATCACTAACATGCTTTCCACGTGATCGGGCTCATTTTCGTAGTACGGTGCAAAATTTGCGCAAAATATGTCCCATCAGGTTTCGTCAATTTCGCTACATTAGTTTTACCAGGGCAAGCTGACTGGAACCGCAGGATGGAACGGATCAACTCCCACTGTGTGCAAGGACGTCCGTAGTTACTGATTCTGCGGTTCTCAGCTCACCCCTGACCGACCCTAACTTTGGCTCCGGACCAAGGGAACTTAAATTTTATATCAACCTTCCCTGTCTGGAATTTCCAACCTATGATTAAATTGAGAAAGTCATTACTGAGAAAAGGCAAGTACAGTACAGTAAGTTTACAGTTTTTCCCCTGACTGATCTAAAGCCTACCATTTTACGATGTAGCTTTTTACCCCCGGCTTTTTGGTGTGTTTGATTGATGACGCTTTACAAAGCATCAACGTGCATGTTATGACCTTTGATAATGGAGGCAAAATTTTCATTTATTTCAAACATATAGGCCGTCAATTAAGTAAGTGGTTTTGATTTTAGAGACGAGGTAAATGTCTGAGACTGAGACGGAACAAATTAAAGCTAAAAAGACGAGAACTAAAAACTTCCACAATTAAGGCTGGCGAAGCCAAGCTGCGCGCTGCATCGTTTCTAAACTGTAGGGCAAACGATTTGGCGCCCCCATTCGGCTTTCAGAAAACTTATAT